TGTGGTGATGATCAACCATAAACAGGGATTGTTGGCAGTCCATTGCCTTAACCACAACAACCACACACAGCAAAGTGAGCTGAGCTGGTTTATTCCCTCCATTTCCAGTATCTCCATTATGATTTTAATCCCCCTCTTTCTAACAAGCAAACAGTCTTTACACACCGGCACCGGCAGCTTGGTGTAGGACATTTCATGTGGTCCACAGCAGGCATCCAGGTCATGCTGAAGCCTGCTCTGTATGTCTTTGTACAGTTTCACTTAACATCAGTCTTAGAGATGGGTCTCGTGATTCAATTCAATTCTTTTTGTGTAGCTGCTTTTACTATGTTAGCTTATCCTATTACAAGTATTGGCCAAGCAGGACATATCCATACATGTGATTGAAACTGTATTCAGAAAAGGCGTTGTTGGCAGGATTCGAACCTGCACAACCCCAATGGATTTCAAGTCCATCACCTTAACCACTCGGCCACAACAACCCACATTCTCTCCATTTCTCTCTGGGAAAACACAATGCGGGAGAAACCCTTTACCTGTCCTACTCTACTCAGTCAGAACATCAACCATAGACACATTACATGCAGTAAAAACCTCCATCAGGGACACAAAAGACTCTGTCTGGACTCTCCTGAGCACTCAAAACCTTCTATAACTTATAGCTGCTGAAGCAAAAAGGGTTACAACCAATCCAATATCCACAAAATGTAAGATAATCCACTTCATCACCATCTCCCTGATGGTCTAATGGCTAGGATTTGGTGCTCTCACCACCACGGTCCGGGTTCGATTCCCAGTAAGGGAAGAAAAAACAGCTTGCTGCATTAAAACATTTTAAAACTAAATGTTTGTTAATCAGATAAACACTAGGCTGCTCAGCCTAGGAGAGTCGGAATTTCAGTTGTGATATTTCAAATTGTAGCCCTGAATCCACTCTTTCCGTCCAGCTTAAACCCACATTTATATAGCCCAAAAATATGCATTAAAATACAGCCAATTAAGGTGGTATTCTCAGCGCTACACTAGTCCAGCAGCCCTTTTCCTCTCATTCGTGACGCTGCAGTCAGATGAAAATGCTTTAGCCAAAACTTGGGCCTGATCTTCCTGCCGTCCCCACTTCATATTCATTGAACATCTACAGTCCTCCGCTCTAACAGCTGAGCTATCAAAGGGATGCTTTAAATCAGCAGATACAGTGAACACCTTCTTTACTGTTCAAGTG